CAGACAGACAGACAAGACAGACAGAAAGAAGGAAGGAGGAATGAAACGAAACAAAAATAAAAATCAGAATAGAAAAAAATGGATTTGGAAGAAGAGGACACCACGAGAGAAAAAAAAATAGTAATAATAAAATAATATTATTTAAAAAAAATTAAAAGCAAAAATCTCAAAGAAAAACAGACATCAGGATCTATGTTTGGCCTCGCGGATTTCACAGGAACGTAAGTGAACGTAAGTGCTGTCACGGAGAGATGACTCGATAGCGACCGAGACGCCGGTGCTTAGTGTTGTCAGGGAAGGACGCAGCGTTGCCAAACGAAGAGCTTGAGTGTCAGGAAGGGAGGTTCAGGGTGTTTGTCAGCGCCGAATTAAGGTGGTGTCAGGGTGTTGTCAGCGCGTTTTAAAGTGGTGTCACGAAAGGAAGTCAGGTGTTGTCACGGCCGAAATTAGGTTGGTGTCAGGAGGAAGTCAGGGTGTACTTCTAAGCGCCGTCTATGGTTTTTGTCAGAAAAGTTATGGTGCTGTCAAGCGCGTATAGGTGGTGTCAGGAAGTCAGGGTGTTGTCAGGCGCCAAATTAGGTGGTGTCAGGAAGGAGTCAAGGGTGTTGGCAGACACCGATTGTTGGTGAGTCATGGGTGGCTGTGCAGAAGCGAACCGAAAATTAGGTGGTGTCAGGAGGAAGTCAGAGGCGTGATTGTCAGCAAACAAATTCGGTGGTGATCACCGGACCTCATGCATGTTGTCAGAAAATGAAACACCACTGGACACCTTCCAGCGGATAAACCTACTGTTGTCAGGCTGGATCTCAACTGGTTGTCAAGCGAAGAACCCGGTGCTGGAGTCAGAGAGAGACGTCACGGGCGNTTCCTTCCTCCATCACCCTTTCCCCACCCCCATCCCCTCCATCCCCCGCCCCACCCCTTCCCCTCTCTCCCCCTTCCCCACCCTCCTCCCCTTCTCTCCCCCTCCGTAAATTAGGTTCGTCCGGCGAGCTCTTCCCCGGCGGCGATTAATCCAAACAGCAAACTTGGTCCGATAAGCGATCAATCACCCGGAACGACTTGTCCTTCTGAGAAAAAGTATATATTTTCGGTGCGGCTATTTCTCTCTTCCATTCTTTTTTTTTGTTTTTTTTTCTTTATTTCTTCTTTATCTTCTCTTTCTTTCTTTATCCCTTTGTTGCTCTGTCTCTGTCTCTCTCTCCCTCTCATTTTCTCTCTCTATCCTTTTCTCTATCATTCTCTATCACTCTCTCTCTCTCTCTCTCTCTCTCTCTCTCTCTCTCTCTCTCTCTCTTCTCTCTCGTCTCTCTCTCTCTCTCTCTCTCTCTCTCTCTCTCTCTCTTTTTTTTTTTTTTTTTTGGGGGGGGGGTGATTTGATTTCTTTCTTTCTCCAAAACTATTTTTTTTTGTTTACAAGTGTTTTTTTTATGGCCTTGTTTTTTTTGTATTCTCTCCGCTTTCTATTTATCCTAAATGTGTCTTTTCACATATAAACATTTTTCCCCATCTATACCCTTCCCTCCCCCTCCCCGTCCCCTTC